ACAACAACCCACAGTATCTGCTTCTTTGCCAGTTTTCTTATTTCCTGCTCTTAATGCAAGCTTGTCAATAAGATACAGGGCAGTAGCAGGTTGATGAACTGATTTGAATTTATTTTTTAAATCCCATGTGTAATCATGTCAAATTTTTTCTAGATGCTTATTAAGCTCTCTAGCTTTATTGAATTTTTCCAAGTCCTTTTGACCGATTTTTGGTCTTTTTCTCTAATATATTGGTTAAATTTATTAATGAAACTAGAGTAACTACAAGTGGCGGGCAATAACTGCCACCACCATCCTTAACACTTACTCTCTTTCAAATTCTTCATCTTTTCCTTTGCTTCTTTTTTTGTTTCCTGAAGACATTTTTTAAAAAAAAGAAGTTTGTTATTTGATCAACATATACACATTAATTATTTATCCCATTGGTTTGGAAAAACAAAAAACAATTTATTTTTTGACAGTGTCCAAGGTGACAACATCAGGAAATTAATTTAGCGTAAACTTGCATAAATCTTACAATGCTGACGTAATATTGTGTAAATCTTACAGTGCCGACGTAAGTTTTACACTTTTTTATCATTAAACTTACAATTGACACGTGTAAAATTTTTTTATATTTTCCGGATGAAAATGTGAGTGTTGTTGTTTGGTTTGGTGTTAATACTATATATATATGGTGTAGTAGATGTTGAATATGGTTTCAAAGACCATTTCATTGAGTCAATCAAATTTATTGGAAATCGGCAGTTTTAAAAGTTGTTGCACATTTAAAAATAGAGTTTTATGTAGTGGAACAAAAAGTATATTAATATTAAATTAATGAAACCTATGCTAACCAGAGGTACTTTTTTTTATTTGTATTGATATTATGAGGTGTCTTTTATTTTAGCTTATAAATATTTTAATTGGAATCAAAACGCGGAGCAGATCTTGCTGGGTAATTTCAAGATTTTCATTGATAATATTTTACTTTGCATAATCATAATAATAATAATACTATAAATATTATAATCACAAGATGTCAAGGCAATACACCATTTAAAAAGAAACAATTCAAATATGCAATGTTTGATTATTGAAAATTGGCAGGTGTTGAAGCATGCACGCTACCTTGAACACTTTACAGTCATTCTCACATCTTCCTCATGTACACAAGGCTAATCTGACCACGGTGCTCCAGATGATACAATGATGCTACTGAATTTTCAGGGGGGGCGCAAAGCTCTGGAGTTTACCAAGACTGCATCAATCATCAATGACACTTTCACTAATCTTCCCTGACCAGAGAAGGCTGCTGGCATGCTGACCGAAAAGTTGCCTGCAATGATCCCACCTCTGGGATAAGGATGGCTCTGTGACCAAGTTGCAACTCTGCTGATGAATTGTAGTGCCATGTAAATATCCAAATCCATCAAAGCAACAAGAATCTGCAGCTTGTTCAAGCACAGGAGGTCACAATCCAGTAAGGTTTCTGGTCCAAACTGTTTTCTCAAAGCCCAAACTAGTTTGGGCAATTTGGGCTTCTCAACATTTTTTATAA